CAGAAGGATTATACTTTCTCTTATAACTTATAAGTAACAAATAATATATTCATGCAGATTAGTGTTATATTTTCTAACATAAGTATTATATATATTTTCATATTGTCCCGACCTGTCTCATAGATAAAGATTTGTGCGAATCTCATAGATAAAAAGACGTGAGATGGTATCACAGGAGACTCATTCCTTCGGATAAGACTATAAGTGTTAAATACTTAAATTGTGTCGGTATAGCCTCTATTTTAATGTTCTAAACTTGAATTATTATTTTCTTTTTGTCAAGTTATAAGGTGTTCTGAGCAGATCCTAACTGTAAGAGGTACCTTTAAGCTCGTACCATACCTATACGAGTCTCCTTTCGCACTTGACCAATCCAATTAAGGGGCAAAGTGCTGGTCAAATTGATTTTTTATACGATAGAGAAATTGAATTAATTCCATTACACACAAATGTTAGTTTACGTGGTCATGTTTCTATATGGTTTAATTTGTTTCTCCTTCACGTACGATGTCCCTCTTCATAGGCTAAGGTTTCTTCCAAGAATTCATTCCAATGTAATTCCGCGTTTGTATAAGATAGTGTGTGGTTACGTTGTTGCATTAATTAATATAATGTTGTTTGAAAGAAACGTACGGAAGGCATTGAAATTAGGTTTGATTTCTTCTCTTAAATTAATGTTTCACACAATACTGTGTAAACCATAACAAAAACTACATTTTAATATACTAAAAGTACATTATTAATATACTGCACATACATACATTATATAAAATAATGTATTTTCAGTACTCAAATAATATACTTTCTCTGAATACAATACACATTTTTAATATACTAAAAGTACATTATTTATGTACTACTGAATGTACATTTTTGATAGTATGGTTCACACAATAATGATTGACGAAAAATAAAATTTTAAAAAATTGAGGAATATACTCCTATAATAATAATAATAATAATAATAATAATAATAATAACAATAACAATAACAATAACAATAACAATAACAATAACAACAACAACAACAACAACAACAATAACAACAACAATAACAATAACAACAACAATAACAACAACAACAACAATAACAACAACAATAACAATAACAATAACAATAACAATAATAATAATAATAATAATAATAATAATAATAATAAAGAATAAGAATAAGAATAATAATAATAATAATAATAATTAATAATAATAACTACTTGCGATTGATTACCTATCTAATTAAAGGGTCTCACATATATCTTACTTAGAGATGATCATGGTTATGGTTCGAGCCGAACCAAGTATGATAAAACCCTAACTGTAATTAGAACCACCTATATGACTTCGATTCTAATTCCAATTTTTTAAATATAGGAATCGGTTGGTTCCAATTTCTAGCAGGAAACTTTTATTTTAAATAAATTAAATTAGAACCACCTAATTATTATTATTATTAATTATTATTATTATTATTATTATTATTGTTGTTGTTGTTGTTGTTGTTGTTCACTACTGGAAATTATGAAATTTCCGACCACCTGAAAGTGATCTTAAATCAAGTTGATACCAAAAAGTGGTCAGAAATAGCAACAAAGGTTTTTTCAGATACTAAAAGTGGTCGGAACAAGGCTTTCGACTTGATTTAAGATCATTTTCGGGTGGTCGGAAATTTCATAATTTTCAATAGTGGTTGTTGAGCCAAGGCCTGGGTTGAAGGCAAATTATTATATGGACCACGATCCAAAAAGATGTCATTTTGATACACCTTTCTTAGATTACGATTCACGCAATAATAATTGTGAGTTAAACATTTTTATCTGATCGAAAAAGTAATGTAATTACTATTATCATTATTTTTTTTTATTTTTTTATAGAACATGTTGATTTGCATGAAGTACAAACACGGAATTCTGTTTTGGCACTTCACCTCGATTTTTTTTTTTTTTTTTTACGTGTGACCCGGTCCGAAGACCTCGTAATTGCTTCTTTATTATATTATTATCCATAATATTTGGTAATCATAGCTTGTTAGTTTGTTAATTCCACTATAGTATACTTGTTGGTTTAATCACTTCTTCAAGAAATAGAGACAGCAAGAATTCCAGCATTATCTATGAATAGAAATAATCAATACATCATGAACTCAAAAAAAAAAAAAATGTAGAATATGAAAAATTTTATAAGTATATAAGAAATTAAAGTATACAAAATATATAAGTTATTATTTTTAATGACATTAAAAATGTAAGGATTTCAAATATTAGCATTTTTAATTAAATTGTAATCAAGCTATTATGTGAAGTTTGATATATATGATGAATTTGTAATTTTATTTCCAGAAATTTCAAATATTCTCATATATAATAAAGCTACTAAAAACAAATTTAACCTTACCCCACCCCCGAAAAAACACTCGTAATAAAACTTGAACAATTGAAGATTTTATTGGCTAGTTGTTTTGTTGAATAATATTTGGATGACCTTTTCCGCGAGACACGGGATGGAATTAAAATATATAGAGAAATTAGATTTTGCATGGTTATGTATGACTATTCCTAATTGGCTAATTCCCAAACAAATACATAGATTTCATTAGTGTAAACATCTTTTTGAATTAATCTAATAATTAGCTCAATGATTATTTCATGTCGTGAAATTTAGGTTACCGTGTATTTTTTTTAAGAATAAACTATATTTAACTTAATTTTGTTTATTTGTCGATTCTAATTAAACTTTACCATATAACTAGTCAAATATTAGGGCTGTTAAAGTGGGTCAAAGTCCGCGGGCTGGCCCGTACCTGTCCCATGATGGGGCGGGTTAAGGCAGAAAAAAAAAAAGAGAAAGAAAGATGACCCGCGAAAGAACGGGCCTGCCCCGTAACTCGCGCGGCCTAAATATCATCAATCGTTATGTTGTGAGCACGTGCCCACTTTGCATGGTGCGCACGAATCTATATGCATAATTTTTATACTGTAGATCCATAATTTCTATACTGTAGATTCATAATTTCTAGACGCTCGGTGAGCGAGCTAAAATTTATATTTTAGATTCATAATTTCTAAAACTGTAGCTAGGATCCATAATTTAAATACACCAGATCCATAATTTCTATACTGCACTGATTTGTGAAAATATGGTTCAACAATTGGAATCTAAAGTATAAATTTTAGTTCATCAAAATTCTAAAAATTATGAATTTACAGTATAAAAATTATGGATATAGATTTGTGCACACCATGTACATGGTGGGCACGTGTTCACAACATAATTTGCCAAATATCATACATTACACCACGGCACATCACAAGTAAATAAATGTCCTAGTGAGCATAAAGTAATAAAATTAGGGGCCAGGAAAATGTAGTTTTAGCCTCTCAATTATTTCTTACTAGTCATTTTAGTCACTAATTTTTTGTTGTTGCAATATTCACTCCTAATTCTTCAAAAAAATTACAATTTGAATAATTAGAGCAACAAAACTACTCCCTATTAAATCATATTAAAATATTACATAGTACATGAGTATTTTAATACTTTTTAATATTTCTTCTTTAATTATACTCTTCCTTAGTAATGATATTTCATTTGTAAAATAAAAACTTGAACTTAACAAGTTCGTGTAGGGAAAATTAGGATGGTGTACCACAATTGAAGATCAACACTTTAGAGAAGAAGATTGTCAATTCTCTATTTTACAAATAAAATACCAAGATTGAAAAAGTTATAAAGGATAAAGATAATAATAAAATTTTAAAGTACTTATGTACTACATAAAATTTTAATGTGAGTTTAATAGTTTTGTTCCTCTATGGTTAAAATTACATTTTTTTAAAAGAGTTAGAGGGTATAATACAACGATAAAATGTTAGGGACTAAAACATCTAGAAATGAATAATTGAAGGACTAAAAACATTTTTTTACCATAAAATTATAAAGAGAAAATGACAATTGAAATAACCAACACATCATAAACAAGGAATTAATGTAAGCACTATGTGCAAATTATTATATTAAAGATATTAACAACTTAGCATAATAATTCACAAAAGAGGTATGAAATAGAACTGAATTCTTAGTAATAAGTATATTCCATCATTTGGTAAACCTTTTTATTTAAGAAAAAGACCTAAAAGTGACTTATTCCCCTATAACAATATTTTTTATTTATGGAATAAGTCGGGAATAGAATGACATTTCCTTGAATATGTTCATTTAATTATTTTGTAAGTCATTTTAATATATTTCATAGAATTAGGTAATTCTTGAGTAGAATAACCTATTATTTTTTCAGTGCAATAGAATAACCTGTTATGGTAATGCCTAAGTTTCCATTAATCGTATTAGAGCTATCCCAATTCCCATTGCTAATAATCACCAAGACATAATCCACTGGCCTCACTCAGGTACAGGGCTTGTCACTGTTAGATCTGCTTTCTCTTTTATTACAGGTTTGGTAGATGATCAAGCCCCCAACGATTGGATCTGGAAGATCAAAATGGCAGAGAAGATTAAAATCTTCTTGTGGAAGGCAGTCAACAATGGTCTTCTCGTCAACCTGGAGAGGACTAGACGCAATATAGCTGGTGATGGCTCCTGTCCAAGGTGCGGTGAGGACGATGAATCTCTTGACCATCTTTTCCGCCACTGCGAGACATCGAAGGATTGCTGGAAGCTCATCCCTACCCCTGCAAAGTTCTACACATCTAATCACCTCCCGCTCACGCATTGGCTGGAGATGAACTGTGCCAGCAACTTCATGGGATCTTATAATTTAACGTGGTGTGTTCTCTTCCCCTACATCCTTTGGAGTATTTGGAAGGCCAGAAACCACCTTGTTTTCAGTAACCACAGGACTCCGCCTGATATCATCATAAAGCAAGCGCGGTCGGCGGCAGCAGAGGCGGTTCAGAATCTGCTTTGTCGAAATGGCCCGCTGAACGCAAGCCAAAACTGGGTGCAGTGGTCTCCGCCTCGCCCGGGAGTCGTAAAACTTAACTCCAATGGTGCCAAAAAAGCCGTGTCTGGGCTGGCCAGTGCTGGAGGGCTCTTTCGCGATCACTTGGGAGGATGGATGTCTGGCTTTGTCACCAGGTCCAACTAACTGCTTCATAGCTGAGCTCTGGGCTATTCGGGAAGGCCTTCGTATTGCAAGACAAAATGGGTTCCATAATTTGGAAGCGGAAACAGACTCGTTGGCCATTATTCATGTGCTCAAGAAGGATCTTGGAAATTCTCCTGAAGCAGACACTCTCATTTCTGACTGTAAGGTCTTGATTCAGACGTTCCACTCCTTCGATCTCAAACACGTGCTTCGGGAAGGGAACCAATGTGCCGATTTTCTTGCCAACATGGATCAGAATAGTCAGTGGGGTACTACGATTCTCTCTCAACCTCCCGAGGGGTTGAATCCGCTCTTGGCTCGCGACGCTAACAAAGTCGCCTTTAGTAGATTACGCTAGTTTTCCCAGGGCTTCGGCCCTTTATCCTACCAAAAAAAAATATTCCATCATTTGGTAAACCTTTTTATTTAAGAAAAAGGCCTAAAAGTGACTTATTCCCCTATAACAATATGTTTTATTTATGGAATAAGTCGGGAATAGAATGACATTTCCTTGAATATGTTCATTTAATTATTTTGTAAGTCATTTTAATATATTTCATAGAATTAGGTAATTCTTGAGTAGAATAACCTATTATTTTTTCAATGCAATAGAATAACCTGTTATGGTAATGCCTAAGTTTCCATTGATAATTTTTGTTATTTATTATAAATGCAGTATAAAATAATAATAATAATAATAATAATAATAATAATAATAATAATAATAATAATAATAATAATATAGTATTATTATTATTAGTACTACTACTGTAGTACTATTGTGTGTATTAATCAGCATAAGATGTATTTATTTCTTTTAAATTATTATTCTATTTATTATATTCCTTTTAAATTATTATTCTGTTTATATTCCTTAAATTAACTAAACATTAAAATTCAATTCATAAAAACATATCATTGGAATTCAATTCATAAAAACATATCATTGGAATTCAATTCATGAAATCTATTACTACCTTTTTTTTTTTTTACCATTTGAGAAAGAGCGCCACCCGCGTCAGCCTAGAGGAGCTCCCTTTACAGTATTTGGAAGATCATCAAACAATGAAATATCATTCTCATTATCTTCGTTACATATTCTATTCCCTATGAAATAAGATTTCTACTTCTTTAAATTTCATTTTGTAAACCAAATACGTTAGTATTAGGTATTAACAAAAAGAGTAGTTGGAGTCCTCCGAGTATAGTGACATCGTCACGTTTAGTTCTAAACTTTCAAGTTAACCTCTCGTGATCCTCCCAAATTTAACCATCCATATTCTTTTAACTTTCAAGTCTATTACGAAAAATATTATTATGTTCTATGTTGATTTTGTGAACCAAACACGCTATAAAGGGAGAGGTTGAGGTGTGTGTCAAATCATTTTTAATGCTTTTAAATTTTTGTAAAGTATAATTATCATGTCAAATGGATTTTTATTGAATCTAAGGCTAACATTATCCCTGCAAATCTCGCACTCTCAAAAATGAATCTCACTTCCACATCGTTCCATTTGCAAATCATCTACTATTCACATTACATCTCTACAAATCTAATCAACTTTTAAAAGTGGGCTCAACATATTAAAATAACATTATTAATTATATTAAAATATTAAAAAGTAAAGAAAACAAAATAAAACTAAAAATAAAAATAAATTAAAATGTTGATGTGGCATAAGCCACATCAGATTGCAAAGCCTATATTGGCTGGGATAATTCCCGCAAATTATGTTGTGGAAACGTGTTCACCATGCGCATGGTGAACACGTTTCCACAACATAACTATTGGATAATCCCAACCTAATTCAACATTTTTTAAAAGAGATTTGGTCCTATATTTATAGGTGTCATTTCATTTTTAGACTCTTTTTTTTTTTTTTCTTTTTTCATAACATTCTCTGTTGGTTTTAGTATTGTTGTGGTATGACAACACGTTTCCACACCATAACTATTGGATAATCCCAGCCTAATTCAACATTTTTTTAGAAGAGTTTTGGTCCTATATGTATAGATGTCATTTCATTTTTAGTCTTTTTTTTTTTTTTTCTTTTTCAGAACATTCCCTGTTGATTTTAGTATTGTTGTGGCATGACCATTTCTTATCCTTTATCAACAAACCTATTTAAATAGCGTTAAATATGATGACATTTTGATATTTGTATTTTACAAGACAAAACTAATTTAGATGAGTCTTTGTTAGATCCCATTCAACAACAACTATTTAAAAAGTAATTCGAGAATTAATTTTTAACTATTGTTGTAGCTTAAGCTCAAAAAGTGCAATTAACCTAAGGAATATACGGAGTAATAAATAGATAATTTGTCGGCAGATGAATTTGGTTGACTTATTTGTATGTATTATTTCCTTAATGATCATTAGGCCTCCTTTTACCTTTTACCAGCAGTTTAAAAATCTCAACAATGCAAAAGCTAAAATGTCTCCCTAAGCCATTGCCACATATAGGGGATGATCATTCAGCTTTTAAAGACATTGAATGCACCCACAACCAAGATTGAAAAACAACAAAAGTTTATAAGCAATGATAGTTTAAATTTATTATGCCAATAATGACATTGACCATTGTGTTCTCATAACAATGAAAATTTTATTATCTTTAATTTACGGAAAAAGTTCACAATCGCTTTCTAAATGTACGTTTTGAATGAAACTCTTCTTGTGACCACCAGGGATGGAGTCAGAAATTCTATTGGCGGGGGGCGAAGAAGTATAAAGGTGAAACATTAAAACAAAATAGGTAATTAAAAAAAAAGTAAATTACCTAAGAGATATAGTTGTAAATATTGTTGGATATGGGCAAAAAATAAAACACATCGAAACTTTATAAAAAATATTCATAACAAAATATGAAACATAATTAATTTGATAAAATAATTTAAATAGAAAACACATTATAAATTACACATCTCATTATTGATATAAAACAATGTTGTGTGTGTGTGTGTGAGAGAGAGAGAGAGAGAGAGAGAGAAACTGTAAAACTGTGTTGAAGTCAAAGAATTTGAACCCCTAACCTTTATTATAGCCAAACATGTGCCTTGCCAATTAACTAATCTAACTCATTTCATGTTAATATTCAATAGTTTTTTTATACTAATACTAAAATATGTACTATATATACATACAAAAGTTATATATAGGGTGCAGTTGCCCCCCTTTAGCTCCGTCCCTGCTTGTGACTATAGTTAGTAAAGGACTATAAGGAGGTAAAACAGTCTAGATTGTCTATAGTTTACTGACTCAAACCAAGACAAATAGACAACTTTCACAAGGAGTCGAACTTTAATTGAAACTTGTAGTTACCAAGTCAATTTTCTTCTGACCATCTCGGTTGAGGTCACCACCAAAATTTTATTATCTAAACATTAATTACAAGGTACAACAGTCTCATAAGATAATACAATAAAGTCTAGGATCAAGCTACAAGGACCAAAATTTTTACAAAAATATTTTACTATATAATATGATATGATAATGTATGATTTGAATTTGACTAATAAGTAGATTCATTTTTTAAAGCAACGTGGGTTCAATCAATTCATGATATAACTATAATTTTTTGCTCTCTCCCTGGTATCTAGGGTTTTAACATCTCTCTCCTTGGTATCTAGGGTTTTTTGACGTTTTATGCATCTTTCTACCATACACGATCGAATTTCTTCTCTTCGCTGGTGTTTATACGCTGTTTCTTTGATTACGTATACTACAAACTGGTTTCGGCGTAAGTCTGCAGGCTTCCACGACTAGGTTATTATTTTCCAGTTCGAATTTAGGCCGACTTTCAGATTCGGCGAACCAGGTAGGGCCTATTGGGTAGGGACATAGGACTACGTGGTGGCTGGTGAGGTGGTGAGCTACGTTGAATAGCAATTCCAGTGAGCGGTTGTTTGTACGGTGAGTTCGTTTACGCAATTCACCGATCAGGTTTTGCTTGGTTACGGTAGGCAGTAATGGATGTGCAGGAGCTAGTACAGAGCTGTGCGGAGATCACCCTGGAGGAGGAGGAAGTAGGGGTTCGTTTCGGGGAGGAGGATGGATCCGAGGTTGCGGAGGGGATGGTGGCACAGTATTGGCAGATGGTTGGTCGTTTCCTAACTGACAGAACCATTAAGTTTGATATGATGAGGCAGGTCATGGCGTCTGTTTGGAGGCCTTTAATGGGGATACAAGTGGCTGAGATTCAACCGAATCTATTTTTATTCACGTTTTATCATGATACTGATCTTGCGTATGTGTTAGACAATGGCCCTTGGGCGTTTGAGAATGCTACCTTGATTTGTCAACCGCTCTGTCCAGGTGAACATCCTACCCAAGTGTTGCTGAATACTATTAATTATTGGATACAGGTGCACGACTTGCCACTCGGGTATCGAACGGAAAAGGTTTTGGAGAAAGTCGGGGACTTTCTTGGACTGTTTGTGGAGTTGGATGAGAGAAATTTTGTTAGACCCTGGACGACATTTTATAGGGTCAAGGTTACGGTGGAGGTTTCGGCTCCGCTGAAGAGACGTATGAAGATGATTTTGCGGGACAATACTTGGACATGGGTAAACTTTCGATATGAACGTTTACATATGTTCTGATTCTTTTATGGGAAGTTAGGGCATACAGATAAGTTTTGTTTAGATGCCCGTGTGTCTGGTTTGAAACCGGCTCAGTATCCATTTGGACCAAGCTCGAAGGCTGGGGGTAATTCCCCGGCAAAAGCAGTGGGGGAGAGTTGGCTACAGAAAGAGGAGATGATGCACCGTGGTTTGGGCTTTGGTAATACGGCGAATTCGTTAGTCCGAGGGGTGGGGATGCAGCAGGGGCGGGTGGCTGGGCGTTTGCCACTCTCGGGTGGTGTGAGGCCGGGGCTGGGGGTGTTGGGGTTGTTCGGGCAGGGGAGGATGAGGGTGTTCGGATTGATCTGAAACGGATGAGGGGGGAGAATGGAGAGGTGGCGGGTAGTGTGGGGTCAGGTGATGGAGTTATGGTGGTTGATTCATCCCTTTTGGCGGGGCCTGTGGACCAGGTCCGCCCTCCTCAATGAGTATTCTAAGTTGGAACTGTCGTGACTTGGGCAATCCACAGACAGTTTGAGAAATTATGGACCTGGTGTCCAAGAAGAAGCCTGAATTTGTGTATCTCATGGAAACGATGGTGGATAGGAGTCATGTGGAGAGGCTCAGTGTAAAACTGGGATTTGAGGGTGGTTTTGGTGTGGATAGTGTGAGACGGAAGGGTGGTATGGGTTTTCTCTGGGCGAAGAATAATAGCGCTCGTTTGATAAAGTACTCACATAATCATATCGATCTGGTGGTGTCTCTTCCAAACAGGCATCACTAGCGGTTGAC